GGCCTCCAGGGCCCAGTGGAGCCTGGTGCCTGCAGCAGCCTGCTAAGTGCGAGATGCCTCACTGAGCGAGGAGCCCGGGCCACGGCGGGAACGGGAGTGGAGTGGCGGTGGCCGGCGGGGAGCAGGGGTGCGGGAGTGTGCGGCTTTTTCTGTGGAAACGTGCCGGCCCAGGCGAGGCGGTGGGCGCCACACGTGCGTGTGCTCGGTGCCCCTGACTTTGGCCCCGCATGTGTTTAAAGCGGTAAATGCGTGACACGTCGGACCTCCCCGTGGGCTCGTGGGCAGGGCCTGCGCCTTTCCGGCCGGGCCTGCCCCACCGCAGAGCAGCTCCCGCCACGACTCTCCTCGCCCGCCTCTGCGTCCATCTCGCATCTTCTCCGGCCTCCCATCCTCCCTCTGCCCTCTCAGGGGACCCTGTGATTACCCTGCCCCGGCCACCCAGGACGCATCCCAGTCTCCCGCCCCTACCCACACCTGCCACGCCAACCTCGCCCAGAGCGGTGGCTGCTCTCGGGCTCCGGGTGGAGGGCGGGCGTCTTTGGGAGGACTCGGATGTCAGTAAGCGTCACAAAGGGAGAGGCATAAAGGAAACACCGGAGCCTTTCAGGCCCTAGCAAGAGCACGTCCGGGCGTGCGGGTAATCCGAGGGATAGGGCTCCTTCAGCTCCAGCGTGGAGGTCCGTGTTCCAGGGCCCAGCTGGGCGGGTGTCCTGTCGGCGGGTATTGAGCCTTGCAGGGTGTCACATCACGGGACACAGGAGCACGCGTGTGTCCAGGCCTGCGGGTCTCTGTGTCCCATCCCCTCCCTTAGCCCACCAGGAGTCCATCCTAGGGGACCCAGCTTATCACTAGTCACCCTCAAAGTCTCTACCTTTCAACCCCACGACAGTGTGACAGATTTTGTCTCAACCCCTTTATAATACAACCAGATCCTAAGGCATGAATCCCAGGACACAGCGACACCTCCCCTCCCCTCCACTAGGGGGCACCAGCCTGCGGGGCGGCCGGCCGAGGTTCTGGGCTGGCCCATTGGCTGCAGGCTGGATGTGACCTGGGCTCTCAGGGTGAAGAGGGGTCCTGGCGGGACCGATCAGTGCAGAAGCCACGGGCTGCAGGGGAGCCGGGGAGGGAGGGCTGCTCTCAGCTGCACCTCTGCACGCCGTTGCGCAGGTGCTCCTTTGCACACCCAGAGTGCCCTCTCGTGACCCTGAGCGTGCCCTTTTCCTGTCTTCCGAGTTCTGCTCTCTTCTCCACGCAGTGGGTCTTCCCATGCTTAACACCTGTCATGCGGAACAGGCTGTTCCGCGGTTCTATGGCAAAAATCTAAAAAAATAAGACAGTTAGAATCTGGCTCTGTGGTGTCTGGTGGTTGAGGCAGCTGGATGCCACATGACCGACCCTGTGGTTCAAATCGCTGGGCCCCAGTGGCTTAGAAACACACCGAGTGCGGTGGGTGCTCAAAACCATGGGGCGACGGAGGAGGAGCGATGCGTGTGACCATGACCGTCTCTTCCCCTTCACTTCTCCCCTCATTTTCCCCCTCTGTTCTCTCTGGTGAGTACATGTGCCTCTGGAAAACCAAAAACAACAACAAAAACCTCTTAGGAAGTAGAAAAGAAAGTAAGCAGACTGTGAGAACATACTTGAAACATGCATCTGACAGTTCTATCCAGAACACGGAAAGGACCCTCTCCCTCTCTCTCTCTCCCTCTCTCTCTCTCCCTCTCTCTCTCTCC